TATACCATATATAATAAAAATCATGCATAAAATATCTTTCAAGATGAAATCACATCATTAAAGGTTTCCATTATACAAATATTGAAAATCTATTTTTTAACCCAAATTATGAATCATACTAAACATTCTTTATTCAGTATTTAATATTTTATTTATATATAAAATACATAATTAAATTAAATTATTATAATTAGACCTGATTAATAAAATATTCTGATAGTTTTCATCTCTGAGGTATTTACGTTTAAATACCGATAATAAAGTCTTTTAACTGGTGTACTGGAAGGTAGGTGTTATGCTTAATGAATAATACCTTTTATAGTAAGATAACATCAAAATATAGTAAAAATCAACGACATTAAAATAATTATTAAGGCTTAATGGATGCTAAAATTTATATCCTTTAGGTAAGATACACACACCACATTTTTATTAAGTACAGGATACTTTAACAATTCTGCTCTATACATACTAGAATACAGTTTTTTTTAAATTAAGAAACGCTCACCATAAAGCATTTATTGAAAATTTCCAAAATTTGCTCAATCTCTACGACAAATATACTTATTAGTTCCTATACAAACCCCCCTTTACTTGTTCTCCGTCCACTCGTTTTGATCTTTAATCATCTTCCCTGCTTATTTCTATTATTATTTTAAAAATGGCAATTTCTATTCACGAAATGCGAAGGAAAAAAAAACAAAAAATCTTTCAATTTATTTTTTAAGTTTTCTTCTATATATATTTTCTATTTCTATAGATCTTGATCTATTTTATTAACAAAACATAATAATATAGTAATAGCAGCATTTTTGTGATTTTATATTTAAATTGAATCGTTTTTTTTGCCTCCTATATACAAAAAAAATTAATTAAAATTTTAACAAACAGGTAAAAAAAGAATAAATTTATTATATTTTAATATCACAGCTGGGGCGCGAATGTATTTTTTTTTTTAAACAAAGCAAAAAAAAATAATAATAAATATAGTTTAAAATTTGTAATATATTATTAAGTTATAAATTGAGCTAATCACCTAAAATAGGATTTAATAATTATAGAAATAATTTTAAAAATAGGTATTAGGGTATTAGTAAGTATATGAGTGAAATATATTCAATTTTATTAAAAATAATAACCATATCTAATATAGCATATTATAATATATGTAACAAATGAGACCTAAGAATTAGGCTATTTTTTTTTGGTCTACCTGGAATAAATACATGAAAAATTGTGCAAAATATCAAAGGTCGCAAATGAAAAATAATTGATCATTAAAATATTGATTTTCCAAAATTGTAAAAAGGATTCATACCGCATTTAGGAAATTAATTTTTTTTATAATATTACTGTTAGGTGTTGTTATCTTAATAAAATCAAATTTTAACCCTAAAAAATATTACCCAAGCATATAAAATGATGACAGAAAGCTTCGATCCTCTTTTAACCCAAACCTCGAGATCTGGATAATATTTTTATTTGGTTCAAAATTTTGATATAGCCGTTTTTAAAAATTGGCCAAATTTGAGGTCCAGCGACAACGCCTAATTGTGTTATAATATATCGTAAATAAATTTTTATAGAATGTTTTGCTAAGGCGCGGAGTTTTAAAAGCTAAATTAGAAGTCGCGATAAAAAATTTTTTTTTTATCACTTCTTTTTTTTCGATCATTAGTGTAATATATTATGTGTAAATAATATTTGATTATATAATAATCATCATATAAAAAATATAATCATTTTTTTATTCTAACACATTATGTCAGATTAGAGATTTTATAGAGCACCGACCCTTACCTTGATAACCGTTTTCTAATTGATATTTAATATAATAACATTCAAAGACAACTATGGTTAAATGGTTCCAACTAGATATAACAGGAAATTAGATATGCTCGAAAGTATTTCTGGAACTAATGATTAAGAATCGGCTTAAAAAATGTTTTAAAAAGAATTGGAAAACATTTTCTTTAACTTTAAAAACTAAAGAATTTGAGTGAAGGAACTATTAATATCTCTTTTAAAAATTTGAGGAAACAAACTGAATTTCTTTCATTTGCAAAAGGGCCAACCTTTAAATTGTCATTACTTTAAGGAAAGATAGAAACTTATTTAATAGAAAACGATATTGATAGCTCTGAGGTTATTTCACTCAATAAAAATATTTTAAAGATACTAACGTTAAGATTTAGTATTAGCGATATGCAGGTAATATTATAAAGGTGTTGGCTTCTATTACTCAACCCCTGATTTCAAAAAATTATAACATCTTATCAAAATATATAACAGACCAAAATTGTACGCCTTATATTGAATTTAGTACAAATAAAATACTCAAACTTCTATAGAATCATAATATTCTAATTAGTAAATGTAAAGAATGAAAGCTAGGGGAATATGTGAAATAGTTAACTAACAAAGTAAGCAAGTAATCAATGAAAAACACCAATTATTATTCTACTATAAGTGAATTAGAACTAAGGATGTCATATCCTTATTGGATAACGTCATCCATAGGATGTAGAGTTATATAGGTTTAGGATAGAAAAAAACTTCCACACATTTTCATGTTACAAAAAAGAATCGTTGTTTTCCAGCAACTATCATTTGGGTTGGTGTTGAATTCAAGGAGATTATCCTTAAGTTCGACAATAAAGTTATATTTATATATGATAAAATTTGAAAATGGAATTTGAATTTATAATTAATCTTTCTAATAATAAATAGAGTTATTACTAGCATAAATTCATGGGGGAGGGGGCTACCAATTACATTTTTGGATGAAATAGGGCAAAATATATTCCTGTAAAAATTTATTTAATGAAGACCTTTTCTAATAGATATTATCGACCAAAGTCAATAAATTGCATACAATCATAGTTTATTTTAAATAAAAAAAAGAAGCTTCCTTCTAAATATAGAAATTAATTTTTTTTAAAATAAAATTAATATCAAAATATACCTCCAGAAATATAATTATACTATACTATTTTATATAATTATTCCCTGATTAATATATATTATATTACAATTATATTAATTTCTGTTAAAATAGTATTTTGCCAATCATTTTATGTATAGGAGCTTATTATTTAGGCCATTGTAATTAAAAATTCAAATTCTTATGAGGGTAGATATAGGTTGAAGGCTTACCTCTAGTTAATTTTCTATAATGTAGACGCTGATTAGGATTAAATGTGAGAGAGATATTGGTTAGGGTAATTAAAGGTTTGAGGTGGGATATATTTAAACAAGTCAGCTGTTATAACGGCAATTTCCTTGAGTTAGATAATAAATGGACGTTATACATTATATAATATCATTGCTCCGAATCACGCCTCCCGCCTGCTGACATGTTTTTCAACGCGTGCAGGTTTAGGTATGTCTAAAAATATAGTTGTTCGTGATAAGTTAATTGTAATGATTAGTCATTAATAATAATTTAAATTTATAAAAATTTTCTTTCTTTTTCTATAATATATTTTTTTTGAATCTATATAATACAAATGATTCAAAAAATTAAGAACATCAAAGTATATTAAAATAATTTAAAACGATTAAAAAAACTGGTTAAATAATAAAAATTGCTATTTTTAATATAATTTAAGCGCTATTATATATATTTTACTGAATTCCTTTTACATGTTACTCAAGTTTTTATTCTAATTTTTTTTTATAAATTTTAAATAATTTTAAAGGATATATGTTAACGTCATGTGGGTATTTTAGGCAATATGTTATTTTTTAAACTTTAAATCAATTTTTAAGCGCATTTTTTTAAATTTAAAAATTGGATTTTACCGGAAATAGCATGTTTAGAATATACCTATATCATGAATTTTATAAAATTTTGCTGTTAACCTTTGAGTCATTTATAATTTATATAAAAAATCCATGGAAAAACTAATATAAATTATATTAAGCTCAAAAGTTCATAGCGAAAAATGTCTCATATTTATAGGGTAGGTATTCCAAACATGATAGAAAACATTTCCGGCACGGTAAAAAAATGATTGATAGTTGAAAAAATAACACATTGCCGGAAAAAGGCATTGACGCTAACATATAAACATTTTATTTCCTTGTAAATTTTTTGATTTGAAAAGTATACATAATCAAAGTCCAAATATAACACATAGGTTCCTTCCAGACTGTTTGTTATATGGACTTGACATAAACCTCAGTTTTCATAATCAACCTTAGTGTCATTCATAACAATTTCAAATTTAATATAAATTTTATTAGTTGATTTGAAAGTTTTGGTGATAATAATTAAGGATATTTACTGTATTTTTTTTTAAAAAAAGCCTAAATTTATAAAATTTTGTTAAATTCATAAATCAATAAAAAAAGAATCATAGAAATTTTTTCAATTACAAAGCACTTAAGAAAAATACTAAACACTTCTTGGAAGCTTGAACCCTTTCTGCTGAAAATCTAGTTATAAAGGTATTATTATATTAAAAGAGGATCCAGGTTAATTATTAATTTGAGTCATATTTATGTCTATACTTTAAGGAAGAATTTAAACTGCTGGAATAAATTTAAAATTAAAAGATCATGAATATTTTATTATTTTTGACTCTTCAGTTAACGAGACTGGAATATATTTCGGTTAGAGGAGAACTGAGAAACACAGGTGAAATTTCAAATAAATCCACTTAAACTATTGAGCCAGTCTAGCCTTTTATTACCATTTTGGATAAAATGTGGCTAAAGAACTCGTAAATCAGATTAAATACTTTAACATTTGTTTGGTTTTGAACTATTTTAATTATTCGACTCGATTTTAGTATTTCAAGCCAATAATATATAATATAATTTCTCTTAAAAAATAATAAAATTTAAATGTTAATATTTACTTTATAAGCAATTTCTCAAAGACAAATATACCGCTATTATATTTTGAAGTAATATCTTATTAAATTTAGGTGTCAAATATTTTACATAATGTCAATATCAATGGTTTACTTTTTTTTTTACATAAAAATATAATATGCAGCATTTTAAAATCGCTGTTACAATGAGGGATATGTGTCTTGATTTTCAAATGATAAATTATTAAAATATAAGGTTTCTAAAATATTTCATATTCATTTCATTTGTTTGGCAATTAAAAATACAACAATTATTATAATATAAACGTGATTATGAAAGAATTTTAAATTCTAATTTATATTTAAACTCGGAAAATTTCGTGTTTGTTGATAAGAATGGTGTTTGCATTATTTTATTTTTTTATTGAAACAGACCCCTTTGAATAACTTTGCTGGTAATGTGCAGTGGTTCAAACCTAATGGGGTAATAGGCCAAATTCAATTTGTTTAAATTTATTGAATACCTTGAAATATAAGAATGGAGAGGATATGTCTTCCTTTAAGATCAAACTCCTTTCTATATTGTATCCTTTACAATTATAAAGGAGTTATACTTATAATATTCCTTTATATATTATATATATATATATTCATAAAAGAAAACTAACATGCTTATATTAAATATATCCATGGTTACATATAGCAATTCAAATAAACCCATCTCACCTTATTAATTATCTAATTTAAATTGTTTTTTTTGTTAAATTTGATATATATAATTTTTTCGTGGTTTATTTTATATATATGTACATCTTATTTTAAATTCGTTTTTAATATATGAAAGAAAATTAAGAAGAAGCTTTATTTGTAGTATTTCTATGTATCCTTTACAATTGTGAGGGAGGCATTATAATTTTCTAATCTAAATACAGTATAAGCATTTTTATTAAAAATTTTTTGTTTAAATTTAAATAAATTGAATTGTTTTAAATATAATAAGTTTATCTTTATAGTAATATATTAACTCTCTATAGCTTGTCCAATTAAATTATTCATTTTTAGCTGTTTGTCTCATTTATGTCATCAACTCAAGTTTGCAATTTATTTATATTTTTTTTGAGAAAAAGGAAATATTATAAAAAATATTTTCTGATCTGAGTTGATCAAAAAAATAAATAGCACACCAAAACTATATACCGTTGAAGTTTACAATATTTCATTGATAAAATAAAGAATTTTAAATATTAATTTATTAGCCATAAAGAAATATTTACTATCATATCCAAAGAATTTTATATAATTTTGATGTTATAAAATATTAATAATGTGTATAATAATAATTGATTTTTGAGCTTTATCTTTTTAAGAGTATCAAGTGAATTTTGTAAAACAAAATAAAATAATTTGAAACTTGATGAATGAACTATTTAAGATGTGTAAAGTGTCATAAGCAAATATTTTAAATAAAATTTAAAATAAATAAAATAAATTTTTAAGAATATGATTGTGATACTTTGTCTAATAATATTATTATGGATTTATGAGAATCGAATACAATTGATAAGAAAAAAAAGTAGTCTTAGAGCATTTGGGAAATAAGGTTATATTATATTTATATTTCCACATCGAATCACAAAGCTGTTCTTTACGTTCTTATTAAAATAGAGCAAATTCGATGGTTAAATGTTCAAGTCACTTTGGAGGTAACTCTATATTAGATTAACACAATGCCATCAATGGCACATGCGGCAGACATTCAAAAGATAAAATCTGATAGAAATTACTTAGTAACTAAAAAATATAAAGTTAACCCTTGCTATGGCACCGTTAAAAATATTTAGGAACAAGCTGAAGATCATGTAATGGGTGAACAAAGATGGTTGTCAAAAAAAGGAGAGCATAGTAATCATAATAATGATGATAGGGCTGACAAAAAGATACTGAGTAGAGAGAAAATAAATAGGCAGTTAAATATAGGTTCAGACTTTCACATCAATTAAAGAATGTTGGAGAACATAAAAAAAATAGGCAGCCATTGATTATCCCAGAAAAATAGTTAACAGGCGTTATGCTATTTTAAACTATATTAACGGTGACTTTTAAGGGAAAATATTATTCTTAAATTCAGACTTTGGGCAAAATGAAATATAACCGATAACTTGTATTGATTGGGGCAAAATAAAACGAGATGCTGGATCAAACACGAATCCTCGAAATAAAGTTCAACAGGGTAGATAAGATCCGGCTCGAACCGACCCGTTAAAATTTTTATTTGTTGGTTGGCTTACATCTCGAGTTTGGATATCGATAAGCGAAAGGGAAGTACATTTATTTGAATTACATGTTTCGATAAATGGGATTTGCACGACTCTTGAACGCAAAAATGGTGATCTAAACACTTGACTTGGAAAATATGGGGAAGAAGATGAACATAAAATATATTATATTAAAATTTATCAATGTTATATTATAATTATTTTATCACAAAAATTGAAAGTTTAGATAAAGGATCTCTTTCCTTTTTTTCATTATTTTAGGTCTAAATTATATTTTTTCATACTTATTCTAGAAATATACTTTGGCAACCAAAATCATGAATTCCAAAGTCCATTTAATATTTCAGAAAGAATTCAGGAAGCAGTTTTGATATATAATTAATTTATCACCATATACTCCATCTTATCTTAAATGAACATATTGTAATTCCATCCAAAATCTTTTCCCAAGAGAAAGATGGTGCTTCAAAAGTCAAAATCAAGATCCAAATGGTCCATTTTTAGAAAAATAATATCAAAAATAATAAGCTTTAGAATTCGAGTATCTTATTGAACAGAACTTTATAATGGATGCTATTTGATTCATACAATAATATACATATTAGTATTTAATATAAGTGGAAGCAGTACTTTAACTGACAATTATAACGCTTAATAAATTAAACTAATCTATATTTATTATTCATATGTAATGTTTTATTTAAATGTAATAAAAATATTTTACTAAGAACCTGTCTCTCTTATGTAGGCATAACACAATTTACTTTTTGATCCCGAAATATACTGTATGATGCCTTTTATATGGAATGTGTAGATTTTAGTTGGCCTCTAGGTCTTTATGGCTTCAAGCACCCTGCGGCTTACCAAAACTGTCTACAAAGGAATCTAATAATTTTGGATGTATTAAATAAACAAAATATAGTTATAACGTGAAAAGGTAAGATAACGTCAATAAGTAAATGTTCTAAGTGATTGCATGTAATATATTAAATAGGAGAAATGCTGTTTTCGTTCTGTCATGCTGTTTATGTCGTTGTTTTGATTATTATTGCTAGGTTAATGGGCGAAAATATAGGTTTCTAATGAGTAGTGGAGAGGTAAGCTTGAGAATATGAAATGGAGGGAGTACTAATCACATTATAATCGAACCATGGATTCTAGAAGGATGAGTGATTCCTTATGTGGAGGCTAACAGAGGTCTAAATAGAGTTTGATTGACCCATGCGTCGCCAATCTATATCCTAGATGACTCATCCATGGTACTTTATCGATAGGAATCTTTGTATTCTTGAGATTTTGACGGGGAAGGGGCCTAGAAATTAAAATTCCAAATTAAAAAAATACTAAATTTTATAATAAAAAATTAGCGGGAAATGGGATAGCTAGCCTCTATAACCCACTGTAATACATATTTATAAATTTGTGTTAAGATGATTTCTAGATCTAGAAAAAGGTGAATTAGTTTAGATTCCCCTTTCCTTGACAATAAAATCAACGGTGAAGATGTAAGAATACTTAGTAGACTTCCTTTGGGCTTCATTCCGTAAAGATTTCTAAGAGAGCTCCTACTCTAATAGCGATAATTTTTATAGTAATTGTCATTCGGCATCACTCCTAACTAATGTTGTTAAACGACTTGATTTGCACCGATTCTTAACGCAATATTTTATCCACAAAAATATTATAGAGACCTAAAGATTTTGATCATTGCTGACACAAAGGTTTGGACTTCTATTAACCAAATCTCGAGGTTTAGGCAATATTTCTCTGGCCAAAATATTGAGTTAGCCATTTTTATAAATAGCTTAAATCGAGTCGCTTAACAACACTACCCCTAACCAATGAAATTATTAATCTTCTACTCCCTATTCATTTTTAATTACACTCCCCACCCCCTGGCAAAAATATGAATATTTAAATGGGAAATAGGACAAATTATAATTAGCAAAATTAAAAAATTCCCAAATTAGTTTTAAAAAAATAGAAAGTCAGATAAAATTAGTGTACCCTCTACACCTTCCTTAACATAAATTTATTCTCTCCCCTTTTATTCTAAAAACGATAGTATCTTCATAACCCTCTTTCTTCCATTTAATGACGTTCTTATATCATTTCCGCGTAAGAAGGAGGGTTAACATACGTTATTGCGTGCCTTGGAATATGTAATAATAGAGCTATCTCAAATGAAATACAGAAATCGTCTGATTCTCCGAATAGAAGCCTCACGTATGAATACGCTATGAACATAAATATTATCATATTTGGGAGCGGAAACCTAGCATGTAAGTTATTGTCATCTCCGTGCTATGTTAAGTATGGTAAAAATCTATAAAAGACGATAAATAAGTTTCAGTCATGTAAATGAGAGATGATTAGCTACACCGAAAACAGATTTGATGATATGACAAATTGGTAAATGCTGATAAGCTTGTATACCAAAAATTTCGAGACACTTTATGAGTCTGATTATTGGTTTATCAGCAGAACACTTTTATCCTTTAAATTAATTGAGGTAATTTGTATATGGCTGGTAATATTTAAATGTGGTCAAAGAAATTTGAAGCCCCATTTCTCCGATCGTTATATTGAGATGTTATGTTTAATCACCTAATACAACCTGGCAGATTTCCAAAGATCAAGCAGGATATCGTCAAAGAAGACTTTATAAAATGTGCGCCTTTAAGAGTCTTAACGCTACGTCCAGTATAATAGTTTGTAGACAGAAAGAGATTGGCCAAGGTATTATTGTGTGATATGTCTTTTAGTTTTTAAATTGAAACAAAAAATACCAGTTTACTATCCAGTTTACCGGTGTTAAGAACAAAAAAGCAAACTTAATATCTAGCTTGAGTTTCACTAGAGAGAAGAGGCATAGATTTCAGGTGAAACAGGTAATGCTTGAAGTTTTTGAAAACAAGGGAAAAGTCATTTTAATATTCTATACAAACGGTTGCTTTTGACTAATGCTTTCCTCAATTATGTAAACCAAGGAGAGAGTCACCAAAAAGTAAAACTTGGCATCTGGGTGATCTTGTTTACTTGAAATATTTATCCAGCAAGATTCTTATCAATTTTTTAAAATCATAATATTTAAGGCTAGTTCCGAATATCAAAAAATGTAAACCCAAATTAAGTTTAGTCAATTTAACCATATGGGTTCTGGGGGGGGGGGGGGGTTAGTATTCAATTGTGATCTTTGCCCAACTTTCTACGCTTGTACAAAGATAATAAAATTAAAGTCTTTCTTCATAGCAAAATATTAATAAATTATTTTAATTTTTTTAATATATTCATTAATAGATATTTTTAATTAGAGTTAATTTATATGCGAAATGCATTATATTTTTTAATACTATATGTTAATGTTTCTTTATAAAGGAATACGATATTATGTGTTATGTTGATATTCATTATATTGTATATATACAAAAATAAATTATAATTTAGGCTTGGGAATATCAAATTTATATATCTAATATGAGATAATATGTATCACATTCAAAATCAATCAATATTCTTTGAAATATGAATAATTCATTATCTTGTTTGTTAAATAATTCCCTTTTTTATTCGTCTCAATATTTTGGCGTTTTGAATGTTATCAACGATAAATCGATTTGGAAGAACATCTTCCTTTAACTTTAAATTATGGATACAAATTGCATATGCATTAATATTTTTTGAATTTGAATTGAAAATGTGAATATATTTTTCTATTTTCGCTTTTTAAACTATTAAAAAGAACACAAATTTTACAAATTGGGAATATTTTCTTATTTAATAGTAGTTAAACTGTTTTCAGTTTAATTACCAATTTGATTTGCAACGCATTTTATTTAAGTAGTAGATATTTAAAAACCTATTAAACTCAAATTTGTATAATTTAATACGATAAGTCATTAACTTATAAATGCAAGATATTTAGGGGGAAGAGTTCATTTCAATAAAGACGTTAGTGCTTTAATGAGTTACTTTTGGTACATTGTAGACTTATGTTTATATTGACATATTATTATATTTCTATGATCCAGGTTTAGTGCTACATAGTGATGGACCCTGATTTTTTTAATCAATTTGTTTTTTATAGAGGTGAGGTCAAGTAGTGTTTAGATGCAACTTTCTCATGGAACCAGTTTGACATGAGGAAAGGTGGGTAAACAAGTATAGACCTGACAGATCCTTAAATATTAGCATTGTCTATATCGTTGTTTGTGTTGTTATAAAATGCGTGTCTCTCTATTGACAAGTGTGACTGAAGTGGATATTTTTACCAATTTTGACATTAATCTCTCAGGGAAATCATTATATTTGGAGGTAGTATATATTAGTTAATTTTATAGCATATTAGTATCAATTATTCCGGTGGCATCTCTGGACGAGCGTTTCAACGTGATGGGAATGTGAAAAAGATGTTAAGGATTCTCATAATATCCAATCCATATATACAAACTTATTAAACTCTATTGACAACCTCTCCCAAAAGTTTCTGCGAATTAAAATAAAGCCAATGAAAGAGCAGGGTTCAAAACTTCTCAAACAAATATAACATGGAATGGTAAATTACAATATCTTTCTATTTCCATTGAATTAATTACAGAGACCGAAAAAAAAGCTATAAAACAATCAAAACATCGTAAATCTCTTGAATTTGATCGATAACGGCAGAACTCCATATATTATACGCTATCACCGATCATATCTATTGTGGCTAACCTATTTGATAGAATATTTATTGAACGCATATCTCCAATATTTTATAAGAATCAAGTTGACTTTAGGAAAAGTCGCAGTAGAGAATTTTATTAGACGCATTATCGAATAAACTTACCAATCGTAGATTGTAGTAAGGCCTCTGACAGCATTGTTATGAAGTCATGTATCATGTTCATCAACAGTACGGTTATTCCAGAAGAATTGTTAGAATAATATTTAAGTTACCAGTTAATAATCGTTTATACTATTAATTTTAACCCAACTGGTATGTCCTTCAAGTAATACCTTGCCGCTTTTCATATTTATTATGATGATAGACCAATGACTAAGCGTCAAAGACTACTAATGAAGAAATTTATTTTTATTTATTAGTCAAACCATAAAAAGATGAAAATATATAAATAAGTATAATACGTCTTTGTTTTTGACTAAAATAATCAAGTACTAAATTATAAAAGTTATTTCGAGATTTTAAATTTTTTAATAAGGTTTTTTCAATCAAAATCAAAAATAGATTTATAATTTAAAATTTTTTTTTATTCATCAAAAGTTAAAGGAATATCTATACAATTACAAAATTCTAAATAAATTTATTTGCTTAAAATAATCTTATCATGGCAGCAAGGATTTATAAATTCCTTTGCCCGATAAAATTATCTTTCATAATTTTGAACTAAATGGAAAAAAAAATATTTATATCTTTTTTTTATATACAAGTTTTAATATTTTAGTCTTAATATTTTTACAATATATATTTATTTAAATTATATGCTAATTCATATAACATAAAATTTGCACAAATATTTTTATATTTTAGATAAAAAGCGTTAAATAAAAGTATATCAAAATGTATCTTAAAAGGTATCCATAAACAGATACAGATATCTCTGAAATAGCACATAGATATAGATATATACTTTTTATACAAATTTGATAATCTTAATAATTTTCAATAATATAAATATAAATATTAATTATTGCTTTTAAAAAATATAAAAAATTTTCTTTAAAACTCTTTTATTTATTAAAAAAATAAGTATTTTTTTATTTGCTTCCTTAATGCTTAATTTTTAAAAGTAAAATTAAACAATACATTCGCATGATTTTCTCTTTATTTATTATCAAAATAAGCAAATTTAAATTTGCTTCTCTCAGTATATTTTTTTAACGTAGTAAAAATAATAGTAAATTTTTTTGACGTATTAAACATAAATATTAATATTTTTAACGTTATAAAAATCATATTAATTTTTTTTTTAACGAAGTCAGATTAGTTATTTTTAACATATTATAAAGATTATATAAAGTTTATTTAAGAATTTTTTTAGGAAAAATTTAAAGGGAAGCAATGCTTTTCTTGCTTCTATGGAAGCTTCGCCACTATGATAGACTATATCTAGTGTTGTAGTCATAAAATTTGCAGCGTGAACATGCTATTATTCTGAAAAAAATATTAAGAGGCACGTTAACATTGACATAAATAGAGACGAATTTAGGTTTTTCCAAGAATCCTAAGTAAAGAATATTTTTGAAAATATTTTATTTATTTTTTTAATAGTTTATATAGAAGCATCTCATATAATATACATTACATATATATATTATATAAAATAGCAATTTAGAAAGTTATATAGAATTGAAATATATTGTAAAAGATACTTCCCCATAAAGAATCTTTTTCAGTATTTTCAATACTATTATTGCTTGCAGACATGTGACTTGTAAGCCATTTTTAAATATATGGAAAAAAATTCTACTGATTGACAGGAGACCCTTTAACCTTTAAACTGGAAATATATTTTATCATTAGACTTGCACGAAAATCTACCACAATGAAATTCATAAGGTTAAAGTCGCGCTTACATCACTGATACTACTCGGATTTGCGTTAATTCAATTTTGAAACTCTTTAAAATCAAGTGGGTATTTTATTACTTTCGTTATTATGATAAATACGTTACCTCATCCCATTTATTGCTAGATCCATATCCAGCGACAGCCAGAAACATAATCGTTCAATTAGCTCTTCCCCATGACAAATATGAGGGTCTGTTGGGCAGTTAATAGCTAAAAAATATAAAATTGTAAAATTTATAGTATTTTTAATTACTAAAAAAATGATTAGAATTAGCATCCATTAATCTATTTTTAAGGCAGTAATGAATTCATTTTCGTTGATACCAGAGTGCTTTCTGTTTTTCTTCAATATTGCTAATCCAAATTTATTAATTTTCCTATTGATCTATTAACCTATCTTCTCTTTTAGAAATATTAAAAAAACATTCATTTTAAAAAATTATAAAAAAGTACCAAGCATACATTCATCACTTTCTTATCGGGTGGCCGTTAAATTTTGCACTGTAGCTAGAATTTATGAACATACATAGGGCCGCAGAGTTATTCCAACCTGTCTTAACAATACAAAGACTTCTAGACTTGCATCATACATCAACCCTTCCAATCCTCAGCAAATGTATGCCCAATTTTAACTCTATTTGATCTATCGCTTTTGATTTTTCTTAGACTGGCTATATAAACTTTATATTGCCTCAATAACGGCTTTAAAATGATTAATGCTTATAAAACATGTTTTATTTCTTTGGACGTCTCTAAATTGAAATGGTGATTTAAACAATGCCATGGTATGATCGTTGGATAAAGTGCCTAAAGCTGCATCGTTACACCAGATTTTTTTCCCCAGTCATCATAACACTGGCACCATTGCTAACAAAATAAATCCAATTTTTTGGAAAATTTTTTAAGATAACTCAGCGGACATAAGATCCAGTAGGATATGAACAATCCTTTATGCATCTTTATATTCCAATTTGATCAGGTCTAGAAATATAAAAAATAGGTTATCAATTAAGGACCTTAATACGTATTTAACATAATCAATCTACCAAGATAGCCATTTTAGATTGTAAATTGATAATATTATTTACAAATTTGGTCTACATTTCCTTGGAAATTCTTTAAACAAGACTACCTAGGAGGCAATATATGTCCCATATCTAAATCCAGCGCCGTGCCAAAACCTTTGGCGGCCCAGGACAAAAAATAATTTGGCAGCCCCTTAAAAAAACACAATTTATCAAAGTCTTTCGATAATTTTTAGCTATAATAACTAAAAGCACATATATTCAATTAAATTATAATTATAATGAATAATCTACAATATAAAAATGAATATATTCACAAACTAAAGCAATTTTATTTATCCTCCTCGCCTTTTTATATGCAAGCCTCTAAAGATAAGTGGAAATTATTTTCTATTTAAATTAAAGAATGATGAACAAGTAGGGCCTGTCATACAAAATCGTATGTAAGTTTTTGAGCGAGATGCTGCGTTCTTGCGGATGCTACGGTAGTTGAAATGGTTAAAGTAATTACTAATACAATGGATATATTTGAAGGCATCTTTTAAGGTATTAGTGTTAATATAGCCGAAAACAATATGGGATGTCAGCTTAATATATTTACTAAAAAATTTAATTCAACATCCTCCTCTCATATTTGATCTACTATCGTAACCTGGTCCACGATAATTTTTTTTTAATTTAATCCCATTTTTTTCAGATAATGATAAAAATGCTTCTACCAAGGCCTGACCAACTAAAATTGATTCTTAGAAAGCCAACAAATATCTTATTTATTTTAACGGAGTTATTGTTAACGCATCGTATAACTACGTTTAATTGTTTCCGATGGCTTACATGGTGTGCAGTCTAATATTACGGAAAAATATATTGCGTTTTTAATACCATCAAACATTTATTTTTTTCAAAGATTTAATTTCCTATCAAGTAATTTTATTTTGAATTCGATTTCCAAGGTAATGATAATGAACTTCGCTGTCCTTAATTCGACAAATGTTGTCGAATAATTAGTGCTGTAAACATTTCTAAAAAAATCTAACTCGTTCGCGTTCAACGTCCATTGACAAAAATCGAACGCGTTCACGTTCAATTTTTTGATAAATTTTTTTTAAAATTTAATCTAATATAAATAAATGCCTAATATTGTTTAACACAATATATTAGCCATGTAATATAGCAAATAAAAAGATATTTTTATTTATATAAAATTTTTCTTATTAATTTTTAATAACAATATTTTTTAAAATTTTCATCTGATAGACAGAAACGCTTGGTAGTTAATACGGCATTAGTGATACTAAAAACACGCTCAAGGGTAGATGAGGGGATTGCGGTATTACACTTGATAAATAATTCTTTTAACTTGGGGAATTTATTAAAAACATTTGTTTTGTTATTTGCTTCAAAAAATTGAGATAAGTTATCCTCCTCCAATCCATTTTCTACTTCCTCGACAAAAAAAAGGGTATTTCGAAATTAACAGTTCTAGAGTTTTCGAAGCATATTTTTCAATAACACTATTTTATTTTTAATGAGTTCGTGTGGAAGTTTTATCCATGGCCATTGAAGCTTGAATAATGGATGTATAATTGCAGAAAGAACATATTTATATGTAATTAATTGAGAGTGATAGCTTTAATACCTTTTATTAATCCCATTTGGGTCTATCAATGGTTGACCATATTTGAGGCCACTAATTTTTTTTAATTTTTAAATAACTATCGATTATTGTTGGGGTCAAATATCTCAAATGCATTTTTTCTTCAAATTTAATGATCTAATTTAGTTATATTATATATTATATATAATAAAATAATTATTACAATCAAATGTCGTTTTAAATTGGAGAAGATTTTGACACTGATATAATACTTTTTTGGGCAGATTTTACACTTGGTAAGCATGGAATTAGTTCCTTCAATATAGGATGTTACTGTAAAACATTTATTATATTTGGCCATGGTTAATTTATTTGATATTGGATTTTCAGAATCAGATGATGAGGATAAATAATAATATTCATGCTTATGCTATTCTATTAAATTAAAATATAAATAATAATATTCAAATTAATAAATTATAATAATGGCGTGTTAAAAAAATTGAAATATGAAAAGGAAATACAGCCGATTAAAAAATATATAATATTTTTTTTTAAAAAAATTAGGATAAATATTAAGTTTTTTAAATAAATAAAAATAAAAAGTATTTTTAAAATTGAACGAACGTTAAATTCGAACAAAGGAACGCGTTCACGTTCAAAATTCGTCAAAAATAAAAGGAACGCCGTTCATCATTTTTTTCAAAAAAACGAACTTCGTTCACGAACGCGTTCAACACCACGAATAATACTATATCAAATTTCGATAAAAAATCAAATTTCTTAACTAAAAAAGAAATGAAGTTTTTTTTTTACTAAATACAAATCAAATTTTTTGTTATAATACATATGGCTTGATATGCCAAACCTTTTTTCAAAATTCATACATGGATTTTTTAAAAAAAAGAAGAATAATACCTTGCTTGTATGTACATTAGAGATCTGCAAAGTTAGGCCCGGCCCGTACCCGGCGAAAGAAAGAAAGCAGACCGGGCTTGGGCCTAATTCTATTTAAAATAATCGGGTTCGGGTTCGGGCCGGGTCGGGTCGGTCCTTGGAAATTTTTCTAAATATATTTAAATTTATCAATTTTATATTGAATTTTTTATATAAATAAAAAATTTTGATTTTATTTATTGAAACTAAACGCCGTATAACATATGTCTTTTATTTTGAGTAATTGTAAAAATTAATTTTTATATTTAAATAAATTCAGGCCGGGCCGGTAAATTTTTTTAATTGGGTTCGGGCCGGCAAAACTTTTTTAAAAAAAATTTCGCCGGGCTTGAAAAATTAGGCCCGATGCAGATCACTAATGTACATATATAAAAAATAAATTCCTATTTTTCAAGAGCTAAAAATAATTGAGTAAGATTACAAAATTTGGCGACCCCTAAAATTGTCTAATTTCGGTGGTCCTGGGCAGCTGCCCCGCTCTTCCTCCAGTCTACACGTCCCTGCCCTAAACCATTGTGCTCTTATAAATCTATTAGCGATCTAAAATCTGTAATGAGCGATTAATTATATTCGTTCCTCAACGTTAACCGACTACATCCCTGACTATATCATGAATCTTTTTATATCAGAATAAATTTATGGTTACAATTAAGACTTCATCTGGAAAGAGTCATATCTTACGTTACAGACGATATTGCTCTTTTAAGAAATTTATGCTTCAGCAATCACACATCTAATTAAACGCCTTCTCTTAGGCAGAGCTGTTAAAAGATACTTTCTAATTGAACTAAACATACAATTGCGTAAAAGGATAGGTGTAGTGTTATGTTGTATTTAATTAATAACAATTTTATAACAGAATTATAATATTAATATAGAAAATATTCACAGTTTGATAGGTGTCAAAATTTATATACTTGTCCAATCATTAAATATCTATTAATATTAATCATCAAAATTTTGTAATATTAATTTAAAAAAAGATTAAATGATTTCTAATTTGAATTACCATATTGTTATCCATTGTGCACAATAAAATTTGTCTGGGTTGTTTTAAGTTTAATTGTAAAGAAATTAACTAAATATTTTTTAAATTTAATATAAAAAATAACAAAATGCCTCTAATAATAGATAGAGATATAGCTAAAATTGTATCTAGTTATATACACACAATATTTATATATCTAGTATACAATTCTGCTCTGAGGTGTACAATCTTGTAGAACTGAACATAAATATTATAAATACAAAAACATAAATTAATTTTTTTTATCTTGGCGATAGGAACATATAATTGTCATCGAATTAAAATATCTAGGTTCTTATACATTAAAATGTTAAAATATATTGAATGACTTTACTTCTGAAAGTCTATCTGAAGAACCGATACCCTCTCCTAAACCTTAAAATAAATTTTAAAAAATAGTTGTTTAAATTACATCTCTGATCTGAAACATAGGTGTCCTAACAAAAAAACTTGCCTCAACTCCTGAGGCTTTTTAAACAATTAACTAGATAGGTATACGAAATGAGTACAAATGTTACAACAAAATTTCAAATGAGAATCTTTACATGCAATAGGGTTAAATTCCAAAACACGTTCTCCTAACAGGGCCAGATTCCTTAGTCAGATTATAAGAAACGCTTAAACTAAATCGACGAAACCCCCAATATAAGAAATACGTCTCATGACGAAAATAAAAACATATGGAGAGAGAATGAGTTACCCATAAAATAAAATTACACTCCAAAAGACCATGACAATATATATAACCTAAATAAGGAAATTAAAATTTTAATATAGTTTCTTCTGTTAATTAGTTTTTTTTAATCCTAAAACTTTAAAAACGGTGCTTAGAAACTTGAGAATCAAATCGATTTACTAGTTATATACATATACAACTGGATTATTGATTGTCTGGTGATATAAATATCGTATTAGTGATAATTAGTATTTAAAACGCTTAGCCATATAGGTGTTGAATGTAATTTATTTTTTGGTTTATTTCACCAATTTTCTTTATTTTATTAATGATAATCACATATCTTTCGTTAATAGAATTTTAATTTAATCGAAATAAATATTTATTTTAAATTAATCTAAATTTTTTTTTTACCCATTAAGACATGACAGCCTGAAACTCTGAAAAATATTTATAATTTAATAATCACAAATTTAATATATAGTCTTTCCTTCAATTAATAATTGTAATCCTTTGTTCTCTGATTTTTTTTAGCCGGATAAAAAATATATTTAAAAAAAATTTATTGAAATTGTTTTACAAATTTCACCCAATCTTCTTTTAGATTCTTACTTAGTAGAAACTTGACTAAAAATTAAAAAAATTTTTTTTTTAAAATAGAACACAAAACTCATCATATTAAAAAATTACTAGTTTACCAATAAATAGAAGTTAGAATATCAATTTTATCTGAAATGTCTTTTTAATAACATTTTATCTTCCTCGTGACATAATGCATCAATCCTTCATTTTATTTGTTAGTTTCAATTTATATAATGTATAGATTTAATTGTTTTTACCTTTCTCCACCATCAATTTATAATCAGATATATCTCATTGGTATAAATTTATATTCCTTCAGGTAGAACTGTAGATGTTATGTTTGGATTAATCCATAATAACGATTGGCTAACATATGAGAGAATTTAGATTTAATTACATTTTAAATAAATATTTCTTATATACATATTTTTTAGAATTTTTTTTTTAATTATAAATAAATATATGTTACAGATTTTAACATAATTTTTGTGACTTCCTTAGGTCATTAAATTATTTTGCCATAAAAGCTCCTTTTTGAAGATGAATCAAAGCGAAGATATTCGATAATTATATAATTTTTTAGTCATTGAGTTTTTATGTTTAATATTTAATGCATATTTTGAATATAATACAATTGCAAAGAGGACAATATCAATTCTCTATTTTTATTCCTTTTTCATATTATGATTTTTTAGATTTAATATAAATAAAACAAAGGACATTATTACAATAACATAACATATTTATTCGTTATATAATATTAAAAATAAATATTTTTTTAAAAAAAATTGTAGAGATTTATATAAGGATCTAATTATTTATCGGATGGTTTTCTTTTTGGAAGCGTATCAACTAAAGATAAAATATTACGTTTTCTTTTCATTTTTTATTATTTCTCTTCTTTTTCGTTATTTCTTGTAATTTTTTTTTTAAAAAAATTTTTAAATAAATAAAATATATTTTTTATATAAATATTTTTTATAAGAAATCGATTTGCAATCTATAAATTATATTTTGTATAAAATTATCCATTTGTTTAAAAAAAAAATTAGTCTTTATCCAAATTATGCTCAATTCTTAACTATAAGATTAAATCTTTTATTTTTTTTAAAAAAAAATCCATGATGGAGAACCCGGAAATATATTGTCCTTTCTTGGTTAACGATGAATCCCTAACGAATACAGGTTTAAATTATTCTAAAATATTCGTAACTTTATAATTACAAATAGCGAACCCTTTTTATAGAAAATATTTCCGCTTTAGAGTTTTAAGTTACTAGTAGAAAATGTTATAGATGGGAATTCTATAAAGTTTCAGCGAAATAATCTAAGTCATTATCAATAAATTGAACATGTTCATAATGGTACTTGTTAACTTAGAACATTTTGTATTTAAAATGTTTAAAAAAAATAAAAATGAAATTTTATGTTTATAACCATATATGTTATGGTTTGGAAGAGGTCCTATCAAATAAATAATTTTTTTTAGTAAACATGACATATATCGAATTCCTGCGCTAATAAGCCTCTAAAAATAATATAAATATTGTGATAACAAAATAATTTGCCATGATTTAGTTAATAAAATGCGTTTTATTTTTTTAAGAAAAAAAAGAATGTCGTGATTGGAACTGAGAAATTTTAATAAAGATATCATATAATATTAATGAATATCGAATTTAAAGAGGATCAAGACAAATAAATTGTTATAGAAGAAAGATGGATTGTAAATTTATTTAATTAAATTAAAAAAATATTTCAAAAAAATGTTGGGTAATAAATAATAATTACAATTAAGAGAAATATAAAAATAAATTTTAATTTAAAAAAAAGAGGGAAATTAAGTAACTGGAAGAATGGATGAGAAAAGAAGAGGATAATAATTATTGGAAATGGGGGAATAATAGAAGGATATAAAGGTAAGAAATGTCGGCCAATTCGGCTAAATCAGCAGGCGCATGCCGGAGAAAAAACCTTAACAATCAGTCGTTTTAATTCTTAACAATTTCTTTCAAATTTGAGCTATTATATTTTTTTTTATAAAAAACTCAAGACTAAAGTGTTAATTTTCGACTAAGAAGAAGTTCAATGCGCTGATCTGCCTTTGGCTTGGCAGCTTCTCTAGACTTTTTTTGAAAAGAACTTTGATACCGGGGTAGAAGTTAGATTAAAACAAGCGATAGGCACAAATGAGCACAAGTTATTTGATGATTCAAGAGCATCGACATTATGAATTATGATTGGACGGGTCGTTTAAATCTATGCAGGCAAAATTCTATAAAAATAAGAGCTGAGAATCAGAAATCTCTATATTAGGTAAATCCCGGAGTCTTCTCTTGGGGGAACATTCCAGTTTTTCTGTAAATAAAAGTAATATCGGGGTTGTTTAGGATAATAGCATTATCCCATATAAGGAGTCAGATCAGCAAATGAATAAAACAGATGAATGTATGATTCATGACATTTACGAAAAACAAAAATTTATATGTACATTTAACTGATATATACACCAAACTTACAGAATTAAAGGAAAAACAACAATAATATATTCAATGAAAGGGTTAAAGTGATATATTATAAATTTATTTTAAAATAGCCTAATTTGGTAGAGATAAAATGGTTTGCAAAAATTAACTTTACTATAATTTATTGTGTTTAATGTTTGATTATTGGATTATATAATATATAATATATTAAAGGATGATAAAAATTTCTTTATATATCATTTGAGTAAAAAGAATATTAAATATTATTTTTTTTAAATAAAAATTTAATGATTCCTATTCCCTATTTTTCCAAATAAAGATTAAAAAGAATATCCAAACTACGCCTTTGCCAGAATTCATTATCAATTTTTTGTCACAATTTATTTTTCCGTTTTTAAATTTATTATTAAATTAAATATGTAATAAAGATTATATTTTTCGATGTAATTATAATAAATTGTTACATCTTTTCTCAACGGTACCCATATCAATATTTTTAAAGTAACGAGCTTACGCTTAACCCTTTGTTAATTTATTAAAACCTCTTCATAAACCTACATCTCAGCAAGCAATAAAAATTGCGTTATTCTATTTGCCAAAGTTTTTTTAAAAATAAAACATGTAAAAGATATCAAGCCCAGCTAAGCTAAATAAATATTCAATTTATTTCGCAAGCCAAAAAAATTTAGATTTTTACTTTATTTTCACCTTCATTCCTAGGTTCAATGTCAATGAAAACAAATTATATAAGCAATAAAATTTTACTTTGTAGTTTTTTTCTAGTGATGTTAAAAGTTACTTTTGAAACATAACTAGTTACAGTTACATTGGCAAAAACATAACTAGTTACAGTTATTAGTTACATTTTTACAAAAGTAACTAGTTATTAGTTACAGTTATTTTCAAAAGTAACTAGTTACTTACTTTATACATCATTCATATGCGCATTATTTATTTATTGAATGCATTTATTTAATATAAAAAAATTAGGATAAACAAAGTATAATCAGTTATTTTAAATAATATACAATTTATTTATATAAAAAAATATCGCAAAATTGAATATTAACATCGAATATAAAAATATATATTTGCATTGAAAAAAAAAACATTTATTTTTCATAAAAATTAGAATCTAATAAATGTTTATTTGCTTTTAACAACAAATTAATTTCAAAGTTATTATCTAGGAGACGTGCTCGTTTATCTCCAAAAATGAGCTTACCTAGACTGAACAAGCGCTCTACGGGAGCACTTGATGTTAGAACAACATTATATTTAATAAAGAGTAATTTTAACTTTGGAAAATCGTTATATAAAGAAAAAGCGTTGTTATTAGATTTGATAAAGTTTTCTATAAGTTCATTATCCAGAATATTTTGGCGCTTTAGGTCAAAAAATCTAACTACATCAAGTTATCTTGGTTTTGAGCATGATTCATTCGTCTGGGATTCACTTTGAGGTATTAAAGTATTTATTAAATTTAAAATTTCCTCCTTTTTTGCTTTATTCCTTTCTTGCCTAATCCAAGGCCAGTCAGTTTTAAATAAAGGGTGAAGAATTGCAGCAATGATGTTGTCATTATCACAAAGATTATTAAACCTATAACATCATATTTTTGTTAGACTTGGTTCTTGTAAGTAATGATTAATAATTTAATATTAAATTCTAAAATAATCTTTCTTTGTTTTTCCTTATACTAAATTTAAATTTTTTTTTATTACGTATGATATGAAGTGCTTGTTACTTGACGGAAAAAAATATATTGTGCTACATTTGTAAATAAATATAATATTAAAATTTATTAAATTACTTGAATTTGCTTATAAAATTATGAAGCCCAGCAGCAATGTAACAATTTAAGAAAAGAAAATCAATTTGAACGGGAAATTATAACAATCAGACATTTTCACAAAATTTTAAATTAATAAATTTAATTTAAAATTAATTTATCACAACATATTAAAAATAAAATTAATTATTTGAATATATCTTTAAAAGTAACTAGTTACTTTTGTCAGTTACATCTCAAAAATTATAACTAGTTACAGTTACTAGGTAACTAGATCACTATTTTTTTCCAATTATATTCGGATGAGAGACAACATATAGAGATATTACATAATATATTAATTAATATTTTCTCTAAATCAATAATTATTATATAACAAATTATTTATTTTTTCGCAAATGTCTTAATTTAATTTAACATGTCCAAAATAAATATATTAAAATCATTATCTAACACCTAACACATTTTTTGTATATATTAAAAGTATCATAAATTCTGTTTAACAAGAAAGGGGGTGGTACATGCGTTTAGAAAATTGTATAATATGATCTAAAAAAATATATTTAATCGATAGCTAATAAGTAAGAATATACAGGAAAGGAATTTTTCATGGATGAGCATTTTGGAAAACCTGATATAATATATTCGTTCTGTATTAGGGTATGGAATCTACAGGGATTTAAATCTTTCAAGGTTAAATCATTTACTAAGATTTCTAAAAAAAAATTTACATGAAATTTAAATTATATCATAGAGTGAATACATTACACAATGGCTGGAATATTTTTCCGGTCCAATCAGATTTTTATTTTTCAAATTAAAAAAAATATCTTCAGTAGATGATTTAAAATTTATTACTTACAAATCCCCATTGGATTCCATATCCCAATACGACACAATATTAGCGCAGCAAAAATATTTTTTTATTTGAGACTTTTGTTTTGATGGCAAAATATTTGCCAAAATAATAAATTTGAGTTTAATGCTATTTTTTATTTCCTAAATTATATTGTATAATAAATACAAAATTTAATGTTTCGATTATAATTTGTAAAATTAATTTCAAATCTATGAATTTCTTAAATATAACAATAATTTATTCATGTTTAAATGGTAATAAATAATTATTAAAGGAATTATTTATAACAAAATGCTTACATTAATATTAATATTTTCAAAGAATTTATAATATTACTTAAAATTAGATATTAAAAAAACCGTTATTTTAAGGTAAAAACAAACAATTTATAATTTTTTTTTTTCATTATTAATACAATCCTTGACAATAGAATCTAGCAATCTTATTGCAATTTTTTTAATCACATATTTTGTTAGAAAACTTTTCAAGATCGTAAACATAATATCTTGCGCATCGCATCTTGTTATATTGACTTTATTTAAAAATATTATCTTTATTTTTTAAGAATTATAATTCCATTTCTAAGCTTAATTTTATATTTATTTTTCTAATTTGTTTCTATTTACGCTGTTTTCCCAGTTTTTCTATATTTGATAAAAAAAACGAGTTTTTTAATATATTTTTTTTCTATATCCATGCTTAAAACTATTTGACAAGGTCAATAGGAAACACTAGATATCGAAATCGTTGATAATGAATTGATCCAGATTCTTAGCCTTTTATACCATATAAAATTTTATATGCAAAGAAATTTATCACGATAAAAAAACTACCATAATAACTATGTAGCTTAATATTTTGTTAACATTACATATTATTTTTGGGTAAAATGATATTTAAATAAAAAAATATTTTCGCGGAGAATGGGGATGGTTATGAGATCGGAATTAAACAAAACCAGTGATGTGAACCCTTCAAGGGTCCGGGTTCAGGGTTTGGTGGACATAAAGCAATATTGATACCATTTATTTATTTTTAAGTCCGAATC